ATTTGTAGACATACATGAGTATTTTGAACTGGATTCGAAAGTGAACCGGTAGCCAGTGCAGTGAGGCCAAAACTGGTGTAATGTGCTCTCTTTTGCCTGTACTGGTTAAAAATGGGGCTGCTGCATTCTGGACCAGTTGTAGTCGTGCAATGGAGGTCTGACTGATACCAAACAGGAGTGAATTGCAGTAATCAAGCCTAGATGTAATGAACGCATGTATTATTGTCTCCAGGTTCTTTTTGGACAACATGGGCTTCAGTTTAGACAGCCGCCTCAGTTGGAAGAAGCATGATTTAACAATCATGTTTACATGATTCAGTTAATAAAATAAAGTTTAACATGAACGTCTTCATGTGTATGTATGAACCTGGTAATTTTATTTCACAATAATTTTACTGTAATATTTATGTAAAGGAAAATAAATTAGGCCTCAGTGAGGTTTGAACTCACGACCCCTGGTTTACAAGACCAGTGCTCTAACCACTGAGCTATAAGGCCTCACCTGGAGAACAGGTAGACAACCTGTCAGTTAAACATCACCTGCTGTGAGGACACGCCTCTTATTGTTCTGATACAGACGTAGCAGCCAAACCAGCTGACTCTGAGCAGGATGTAAACTAGACCAGTTTTACAGAGTCTGAGTCAAGATTTATATTCTTCTTCAGCTTCTAATTTTTTTCAGCTGTTCCCTTTTCAGGGGCGTCCACAGAGAGTCCTCCATCTTACTCCTGTCCTCTGTCCTCACTCCAACCACCTCCATGTCCTCTCTAACTGCATCCATATGTCTCCTCTTTGTCTTTTTCCTGGCAGCTGCATTTATAACATCCTTATACCAATATACCCACTGTCCCTCCTCTGGACATGTCCAAACCACTGTCCCTCCTCTGGACATGTCCAAACCACTGTCCCTCCTCTGGACATGTCCAAACCACAGTCCCTCCTCTGGACATGTCCAAACCACCGTCTCTCCTCTGGACATGTCCAAACCACCGTCTCTCCTCTGGACATGTCCAAACCACCGTCTCTCCTCTGGACATGTCCAAACCACCGTCCCTCCTCTGGACATGTCCAAACCATCTCAGTGTGTCCTCTCTAACTTTATCTCCCAGTTGTTCAACCTGTGCTGTACCTCTGATGATCTCATTCCTGATCTTCTCCATCCTTGTCACTCCTAAGGAGAACCTCAACATCTTCATTTCTGGTACTTCCAGTTCGGTCTCCTGTCTTTTTGTCCATGTCTCTGTCTCCAGACCATACAACATAGCTGGTCTCATCACTGTCTTGTAAACTTTTTCTTTGACCTTTGCTGACACCCTTTTGTCACAAATCACTCCTGAAACTTTTCTCCATCACTCCATCCTGCCTGGACTCTCTTCTTCTCCTCTTTACCACACTCCCCATGTTCCAGGACAGTGGACCCCAAGTCCTTGAAGTCCTGCACCTTTGTGACCTCTGCTCCTTGTAGCCTCACTGTTCCACCTCCTCCCTCTCATTCACACACATGGACTCTGTCTTACTACGACTGACTTCCATTCCTCTTCTTTCAAGTGCATACCTCCACCTCTCCAAGTTCTCTTCCACCTGTTCCCTGTTCTCACCACAGATCACAATGTCATCTGCAAACATCATAGTCCACGAGGATTCCTGCCTGACCTCATCTGTTAGTCGGTCCATCATCAGAGCAAACAAGAAGGGGCTCAGAGCTGATCCTTGATGCACTCCCACCTCCACCTTGAAGCCATCTGTCACTCCTACAGCACATCTCACCACTGTCCTTCTGTCCTCATACATGTCCTGCTGTCCTCATACATGTCCTGCTGTCCTCATACATGTCCTGCTGTCCTCATACATGTCCTGCTGTCCTTATACATGTCCTGTACCGGTCTAACATTCTTCTTTTATTGATCAACTATTTGTCTTGAGCTGATTTTACTGATCCTGATCAGGTTTAGTTTAGTGTGATCTGGTTAAATTCACGTGTTTCTTGTTTACTTGAATCTAATTTGGTTTTATTTAATCTTGATTAGTTTTAGTTGATCTTGATTAGGACCAGTTGATCCAGATCTCTTTAATGGCCATTTATTAGTAGCAAGTGTGCAAGATCAGGTTTAACAGATCCTGCCTGAGTTAAACCAGCTGATCCACCTCAGGTATACTCAGTCTGGATCTGGTTTCTTTGATCTAGATCAGGGTCAGTTCTTTGTGCTTGCAGTGATTTCTTGTGTGTTTTTGTCCTCAGTGAGTGTATAAAGATCCAGCCCACTGACATCCAGCCAGACGTCTTCAGCTACCTGCTGCACATCATGTACACTGGCATGTGTCCCAAACAACCGGTGGACCAGAGCCGGCTGCAGGACGGGATCAAGTTCCTTCATGCATATCAGCTGTGCCGGAAACCTGGCGACGGCACTCCTGACGCCACCACTGACGTGGTCCGCATGTCCAACCTGTACGGCATCCAGATCTCATCTCAGCTGGCCAACAAGGAGACATCTGGAGTCCCCAAGACCACCACAGTGTCCTGTGGAGCTCCTGAAGACGGGCGGTCCTCTGCGAGGGGTTTACGGTCCCATTCTCAGCTGTCCCTGGCTGTGGGACTGGAGGGGGTCCCTCAGGACCACCAGGTGTCAGGGGTACGTAACGTCTGCTCAGTGGCATCTGGAGACGACTCGGACATCTCGGCTCGCATCAAGCAGGAACGTGTGGAGGATGAGGATGGTGACGGGGAGGAGGGGCCTGGAGTGGGGTCTCTTTCCCTCCATCATGGCAACAGTCCTGGTCAGGGGCCCATTTTCAAAGACCTGCCCCTGGTCCTGCAGTGTCCTCGCTGTGGAGAGCGCTGCTCCTCCCCTGAGGGCCTGCGGGAGCACCTGTTTAGCCATGCCCTTGACCCCGCCCGCCTGATGGAAGGACTGTCACATGGCAGCGAGCTGGATGTTGGCGCTGAGGGGGGGCCTCGAGGCACTCAGGAGCAGCTGGACGCAGGCTGTCTGGAGGAGGCACTGAGACAGAGTCAGGCGCTTGCCAACCAGCTGGCGGCAGAGCTGAGGAGGAGCCGCGGTGGGGGCGGGACCAGTCCTGCCCCCGTCCTCCTGCACTCGCGCAAACGTAAAATCGCCTGCGCCGTCTGCAGCCTGCGCTTCTCCCACAAGAGCCAGCTGCAGGAACACATGTACACCCACACGGGCAAGCCGGGCCGCTTCCACCGCTACAACCGCCTCTGCAGCCAGCTCTTCCAAGGCTCCGCCCACTTCTGCGAGGGCGGAGCTGAGCCTGGAGGAGGGTGCGGAGCCCCTGCTGCCGCTGCCGTGCTCTCTGAAGACATGAACAGGGACACTCAGGACAACGGCAGCTCCTGTTACTCCCTGGACTCCGAGGTTTCCCAGGAGAGCGTGGATGGTGTTCCTGTGGAGTGATGTCACCTGATGACGTCATGTTAGTGACTCGGACAGGAAGCTGGTGTTGTACCTGTGCAGGTGTGTGTGTGTGTGTGTGTCAGTCATGTGATCTTAGTGCAGTAGAGCCTCATCGAGCAGACGGTTATTGATTACATTTATTGGTTTTTCTTTGCTGGTTTTGTGAATGGACAACCCGATGAGTCGATTGGAAAACAACCATCAGAGGTTTTGGTAGCTGCGGTTCTAAACTTAATGCCAGTTTTATTTATTGTTTGTTTCCTGGTTTCTATGGCAACGTTGAACTCGTTCCTCCACAGCAGCCAACATGTGAAGTGTTGAATGGCAGACTGAGCATCTCAGGAGCGCTACTGAGAGGATCTGATATGTACCAAAGCACGTCATCGGCATATAAAGAAACTATTCAAATTCAAGAATACTTTATTAATCCCAGAGGGAAATTAAGCGTTGTCGTAGCCCATCATCCTGGTTTCATTCAAGAGTTGCTATAGATGCTGATAGCTGTGGGCAGGAAGGATCTCCTGCAGTGAAGCCGAAGAATCTGGCCACAGATACCGATCTGTCCACCCAGATCCAGCTTGCTGTCAGATCCGGCTGGCCTCTCGGTCCTCCTGGGCAGCAGGATTGCCCAAATGCCAGACAGAATTCCTCCCTGAGTGATGGTCACTCCTCGTAGCAGTCTGCAGAGCTCCTCACGAGCCGAGTTTCTCACCAGCTCCAGGATCTCGGTGGTTAGGTACTCGACCACCACAGCCAGGTTGACGGGAATTCATCCATGGCGCCTCCTTTCCAACTTATTTGGGATTTGGGGCTGTAGTTGAGATATTTGAGCTCTTGAGATGTTAATCAGCTGCTCCTGGTTGCTAAAAAAACACCTATCGCAGACGTAGCTGACCTGATGCGACCTCTGACAGCTGCTAGTTGTCCTGGTCAGAAGAAAGACGATCAAAGGAAAAGTTTTTAGATCATCACCCGCTGCCGTTCAAGCCCCAGTTTCAGACCAAGATGTCATGAGTTATTATTTAAATATGCATCATCAGGGCATCTCACGCTCAGAGTGCGTGTTAGGGAGGACTCTCAGCTACTACCACGTCAACTTAAAATTGACTGAGATAAAACCACTTTTGTGTTGCTGGCATCACTTAGCTGTGGTGACCATCTTGACTCGGACTGACACTGAAAGTTAATCCGTTCCAGATTCTCTTCTAACGACTAATTTCTGTGAGATTAACTAAAATACATCCGGTGGTTCAGGAGATATTTTGCTAACAAACAAAGGTTAATGCTGAAGTTTTAGGCAGATATGTCGTTTAGCTCTGGGAGTATATTTTATGAGTGGCGCTCGGCAAAACTCACAAAGTTTTACAGTTTATAAGATAATAAGATTCATGAAATGTTGAGTGGTTTGGCTGTTCCAGTAATTGTTTGGTTTATTTCAAACATGTTAACTTTATACAGTCGAACATTTTAAACAAAGGAGAAATAAAAACCTACATAAAACAAGAAGTGCTCTTTGTGTTTAGCTCGCGTCAGTGGAGTGGGCAGAAGCACTCAGTTCATCCCACCTGCTCTCCATCAGTTATCAGTTTTACTTATTGAATTCTGTATTAATACAACCGCTAATGAGAATATTGCATAAATATTCAGATACTATTTCTTAAAACAAGCTGTCATATTTTACATATCTTTATATTTTGTAAAAATAATCAAAAATTAAGCTTAATGTCTTAAAATGTTCGTTAGAACTCATTGAGTGATTCATGAGAAATTTTGCTAACAGGCAGCTGAAGTTGACTCCAGATATTTGATGTCAAACTTTTGGACAAAGAATTGATCAAACCTAATGTTGCTTGAAATGTGTTCATGGATCAGTCTCAGTTACTACCACACAGAATGTTAGCTCAATATTTCAAGTTTTTTTCCATTTTTGTTTGTTCTCAGGTGAGTTAGCTGCGGTGGCCATCTTGAACAGGTGTCCTCGATCGTCTCAGGTCATATTTATGTAACTTTGAGCCCTAATAATGATTTTATGACTCATAAAAAGTTAAAACGCTTTACTCACTTTTTACCTTGAATGGATCTGATCGTCACATCCTGTCTCCAGGTTCTGGTTCTGGTTCAGGTTCAGGTTCTGGTTCTGCAAACACAAACCAGTGTTCAGTTTCTGTAAACCAGGTAAAACAAATCATGTAATTAATTGGACCTGCTTTATCCGGTTAAAATGTATTGAAGTCTGGGGGAACAGAAAGTTTAGCTCGTTTGTCGCTCATGGACTTCATCCTGTCAAAGATGAATCAGATCGATCAGATTGATCTGATCGGATCAATAAACCATTTGTTTTTTTTCTTGATCGGCCTCATCCCGTTTCATGAGGCTGAAAAAGAGGGGAGGTCACATGACCCTCTGAGGCTCTTCTGGACAGCTGAGGTGTTATTGATCGCTGATTGGTGAAGGTGTGACTGTCGTGACGTCATCTTGTTTTTTTCTGTGCTTCGCTGTGAAACAGGAAGTTTGGTGTCTGCGTGGTTTTTGTACGCGGTTGATTTTCATCGACGGAGAAGTTTTGTAAATAAATGTCTTTTTCCACCAATCACATCGCAGCTCTCCTGTTTCTTTACCCTCCTGCTGCCCTTGGGTCAAAACGACTGAGGCCATGTGGGTCATTTTGACCCAAGGACAGCAGGAGGGTTCTCCACAGGTGATTTACTGATTAAGCCATTAATAAAAACTTTTAAGAAGTGTGTTTTTAAAACTTTAAATACTGTGAGTTAATACTTATTTATTTATTCCCCAAGTATTTTAACTATATTTTATGATATTCTGTTCTATTCTGATAACTGATAATAACTACATTATGTTATTTTTACTGTAATTTTACTACAGTACAGTACACAGGTCTCTGGGTGCAGTGACAGGTCCAGACCTGCAGGGGGCAGCACAGGGTGGTTAAACCCCCAGTCCATGAAACAGGAACAAATAAAAGCAGGGCCAAAAGTGAGCTTTAATGTTCTCAAATGAAAATAAAAATACTTCAAATTAACAAAGAACAATTTATATTTTATTTTAACAACACACCCCCAGCAGAGAGTTGCGACATGTTTTAGCTAACAGCTGTTTTCTATCAGTCTTTTCATGTCTTTGATTTAGAAAAAGATCATTTGACTGTAAACATGCTGGATGTCTAAATCAGAAAAGTTTGTACAAAACTGGTAAAAGATGGAAGACTGCTTCAAAAAGATAAAAAACTATTTCATATTTTATTCATAAAAATGTATTTCTTAATATTTTATTCATATTTAGTCCCAGGAGTCAGAAGTTTCATTAAAAACTCACAAAGTTTAACATAAAAAACATTTTGAACCAGACCAGGACGTGTGATTTATGGCTCTACTTCCGGTCAGTGGCGGTGCTGTGATTTACCTGAGCTCAGAAAACAGCGCGCGCATCAAACGGTCCGACCAGCGCGTGGAGGGTCTCCTCTACCTGTCTGCAGGTGAGGCCAGAGTTTCACTACGTTTCCCAGAATGCCTTTCGGCGTGCTGCTCTCACCTGTCGGAGCGTCTGATTGGTTGGTGCTGTTGCTTAGGGACAGTCGGAGGTATTTTTACTCTTCATCACTATAGAAACAAAAGCTGCTCCTCTTCTTCACACCTTTAAAAATAGACAGCGTTAACGAAGACGAGCTGCGGATCAATAACTGATCACTGATCAGATCTTCGCAGGGGGTTATATTTTACAAACGTTTTAGTTTCTGCCTGATTTAAAAAACAAACAGAAATCGATAAAAAATTGTGTTAAATACGTTTAATAAATCAAAACTAATGTTTTTACACATTTCATCCTGCAATATTTTACTGAGCAGAAAAATCGATGTTAAAGTTTCTGATCAAAGTGAAGTGACAGATTTTTAACAAACTCCTGATGATCAGTTTAGTTTCAGGTTTTGTGTAAAACTGAAGTTAATCCAGACTTTAAGTTGCATCTAGTCAGAGAAACACTTAAATATTATGAAACTACAAATTATGGAAACAGTGTTGAACTATAGGAGCTTTGTTGATCACGTGACAGGAGGCGCTCATCTCAGCTGATGATGAAACTGGGGAGACAACGGCCGCACTGCATGCTGGGAGGAGTCTGCCTGTGACTGACAGCAAACCTCACACCTGGTTATAGGCTGATAACTAAAAAAAGCTGTACTGCTGGAAACTGTAGGAACCTGAAGTAAACCTGGTCTGAGAGAGAATGTTAGGATCTGTAATACAAGAAGACTGGTGTGGTTGTTTTCTTTGTTTTGGTCCTTGTTTTTATAACTTTTCATCATCACATCATTTTGGTTCAGATATTTGTGCTAATTTTCTTTTATGTACATCAGATCATTTTGTAGTTTGTGTTTTTGTGTTTGTTTAGAATATTTTATTTTAAGTTTAATCTCTTTCTGATTGTTCTTGACATTTAAATTTAGTTTTTCAGTGTTCAGCTAATTAGACAAGTAAAACCTCAGTTTCACTTGTGGTCGTGCGGTGTGTGTGTTTGTGTGTGTGTGTGTTTGTGTGTGTGTGTGTGTTTGTGTGTGTGTGTGTGTGTTTGTGTGTGTGTGTGTGTTTGCTGTCCTCTCTAACAAACATTTTGTGTTTGTTTTCAGACATTCATTATAAGAGACAGGTTGTTCTTCCCCCCGGGGGTGGATGTCACTGCCTCCCCCGCCCCCTCCCACCACCATCCCATACAAGAACCAGTTTCTGAGAAACAACATGCCAATCAGTGCGGTTGCCATGGAAACTGAGGCGGTGCAGCAGCAGAGGGGGGAGATGAGCTCGCTGTTTCCCGGTGTCTCTAAGAGAAACGAGTCGGATCAGCCGGACGGACACAGGTGAGTCTCTTTCTTTTGTTCTTGTCTGGTCCGATTACCTGCCTGATGACATCATCGTGCATGTCTGATGATGTCATCGCTCACTGGTCCTCACCTGAGGCGGCTGTCAGTGAAGTTTGGTTATCAGCTGATCTGTTATCACTGATCTGTAATCAGACCTGGTTTAACGTTGATCAAATGTCAGTTTATTAATAAAAACATTTGATGAAAATAAATATTAA